AATTAATTGGCTTAAATTTATTTAATAAACTTCGTATGAAAAGAACAACAGTAACACTTAACAATATATAAACACAAGTCCAATATCACTATGTTCACAAGACAAATCAATTATCGTAGTGTTACACAAGATTTTGCTGAATCTATATTGAAATATGATTTAAAGTTTTAAATATAAAGTATAATACTGCTATGAAAATCATAAAATTCTTCTGAATTTATTTGTTTAAACACTCGATCTTACTCCTGAAAATGATCTAAGCTGTGATCGAAAGCTCGAGTGTTTAAATAAATAAATTCAGAAGAATTTTATGATTTTCACAGCAGAATTATACTTTATATTTAAAACTTTATTTCCAACTGCTCATTCAAATAATTTTTGAAATATGATATTAATGATAAAGAATACCCATATAACTATACTGTTAGAAGACGGTCTTTCCAGCATAGTCCACGATAGTATTTCAACTTTTCTACCATGAAAGAACTTAGGTTGTGGTCAACATTATATATAAAAAGAAAGCTTTTTAAAAACTCTAGAGAATGGGTGGTAATTCATTCCTAGTTAAAGGAGCGAACGCTCATTTTTTCGGATATTACTACCGCAGAGTGATGTTTTCGGCATCGGCGGATAGGGTCAACCTATATAAAATTTACCACCATTTACATCGACATTTGATGCCAGTGAGGAGACTTGCCTCAGGTCAGCTCAGCAAGCTGAACCAAATGGTGAAAATCGCAAGTCTCTCGGAAAAACGCATTTTCTGGCGGATTTAGTCTGATTTGTAGAACATCTGCTGCTCACATTCCCTAATGTAGAACCTTCAAATCGGTACCAAATGAAGGAGCGCGTCGAGTTCTATATATTTCGAAGAAGAAACGTTATGCTTGGCCTCGGGGTCTTGAATCAGAGATCTTAAAATTTCTTTCACAAGTTTCCCAATCATATCATTGGATAGCCCCTTCAATTCTCCACAAAATGAGATCCAAAAAGTTCTAAAAGTCTACCGAAAAGTGAGTTTTACGAGATTTTCAAGCTGGTTTCAACTATTAAAATGTTCACTTTTCACTCAATAAACATCGGAACGAGGTCAGGCTTTCAGAATATAGAGTATTTAAGCTATTCTATGTCTTATTTGTGGAAGATCTTAAAAAAAGTTTACAAAACCCTAAGATTTTCCAAAAGGGTTTCTTGAAAACCCAATAACGCAAATATGCTTTTTCGATTTTTTCGACCTTATAATCACGTTTAGCGGAGAAAATCGACCGTATCTTGACGGTCTGAGCTCGTTCTGATGCTTATTGAGTGAAAAGTGAACTTTTTAATAGTTGAAACCAGCTTGAAAACCCAAATTTTCGTAAAAGTCACTTTTCGGTAGACTTTTAGAGCTTTTTCTAAAACCAAATGTTGCCATAAAGCTCAGCATGATCGATTACCTATAGTCCATCCGTTTTCAAGGCTACCAATAGTCACCGGATGCTAGTCCTGGGACTCGCAAGAAATCCGACACAACACTCGAACCGCAGAAAAACAAGGTCTTGCTTGACTCCCATTTTGAAGAAGATACCCTGGGCTATCATAGCATGGAAGAAAATCAATACAATCCTATTGAAAATTTTTACACACGGCCTGGTTTTCCAAAGATGTTCTTGCTGTTTCTCTTAGGTTTTCGCTAAAAGCCGTTTTTCTTAGCAAGGAAAACAAATTTTGAAAAAAGTTTTACGTACTTTTAAAGCTGGCGTGTTGGCCAATCTGAGGGTGTGTGAATCATCGATATAGTCCTTCACCCAAAAAACTAGATACGTTTACAAAATGAGGCATACCCAGTTGACAGCCGTTGGTTCGTCCATGACGGGCGACTGTTTACCCCTGACACGAATTGAAAACCTTTTCTAAATCAGTTTTCAATGCTGATTGAGAAAAATGTAGTTCTAACCTTCCATCTTGCAATACAAGCTCAAAAAGTCAATTTCATCATAGAGGACGGTTTGGGGTATTTTTGAAGTCCTCTCAGTAATTTGAGTTTTTCTCCATGAAGAAATGGCTTTTGGAGGCTCGGAAGATGTTATCCGTAATCAGCTCGTTAAGCTAAATTTGAATATGTATAATAATGCCAAAACAAAATTTCACTTGAATTTTGTATTACGTGCATCTTACAAAAATAAGAAGAAATTAATTTAGGGTTTTTCTTGTAAATTCTATAACTTTGCAAAGGAAAGTCGTGTAGAGCTGGGAGATGTCTCGTTTTAATCAGAAATTTATGCGCTACAATGATGCCTCATTAAAGGAAGGTTTTGGTAACTTTTTAAAGTTCTTGAAAAACTGGTTTTCCAAGAAACCGGGTCTTCAAGAGCCATGGGCACCAATCCTTTTAGGGTATTTACTACCTTACTGAGGTCTATTGATCCATGTACAAATCGTTGGATTCGGAAGATTACATGTTGAAAGGTTCCCTCGTGAGTTGGTGACAGATTTTTTTGGTGATGCCGTGGTTTGCCTATAAGCAAAGAAAAGAGAAAATATAATTGAACGATCGAGGTCAGATGTACCGCTTTCTGTTTTCTCTCGTTTTGATCTTAGCGCTTCTAATTTTTTGTTATATACGCACGGCAATAGACTGTAAGATAAACTAAGAAAACGACAAATTGTATACTTCCATCAAAATGCTCACTGCGCTCCCCTAGCAAGCATCACCTGTGAGAAAATCTAGATACATTTCGTCTGTAATCGAGCGATACACGACTAGTTGCCATCTAGATTACTAGTCGGAAAAGGGACTTTTAACTAGATGCGTCTGTATGTATAACTAGCAATAGTTAAATCGATCGATTAGCGGGCGATAAATCAATAGTTGCAACTAGGAGAAATTTGGCAATCACCCGATTACTGGATTTCCGCTGTCGTTATCGTTTTTTTACTATTGGATCACTATGAAATTCGTCTATATTGTGCCAACGTGAACGATTAAAATAACGGAAGATCACTCTTCGTTTATGCCAGTTTGAGGTACCTTCTAAATACCTTCATATTTTTATCAGCGAATAAAGCAAATATTGATAAATGTTTTAATAAGTGATCATTTATACCCCTCTCAAAAAAAAGCTGTGAGTTTTAAACATCCTCTCCATATCAGACTTTATTCGAAAGTTGTTTCTCTTCCGCTGGACGTTTGGTCAAAAAATTTGTTTTTATTGATGGGAAATAAAAAAACGACATTCGCACGGTGCCGGAAAACCAAATACAATCACAAAAAGATGTCTTATCATTTACCGTACCTTAACTTGTAGATTTTTTTCTAATCATATATCGTTGCTTTCTTTCGACTATAAGCAATTAATGTCACTTAAATATTGAGTTTTCTTCTGTAACGTGAAATAGTACTGAATAACTTTAATTTGCACTTTGCTGTTTTCATTTTATTACGCGAAGAGTTCAATTTGCTTATAAGTGATGAAACTTGTAGAATATACTTTTTAACTCAAAAGTGCGATGTTTTTCAGGTTGTTATGCAAATAGATAGAGATAGTTTGAAGTACATAGGGTAATCTAAAAGTTGTTTCGTCCTGCTCTTCTAAAACCTACAGTTTGAATGAACCTATTCGACTATAATACTGAGATATATTCAGGATTATATGTGAAATTGAAGACTTACAAGTCTGTTGTAGCGTAGCATTTTTGCATTTCTGTCAGACCAGTTTAAATCCGAAAAGTACTTTTTTTTAAGTTTTTAAAAAGTTACGAGAAACTAAAAAGAAAAAAATTTGAATTTTTTTGACACCAAAGGATTTTTTGGAATTTAAGACCCTTCTAGTATTCTGAAGATTTTTCATTCAAAAATCAGTGTTCTAGAGCTAAAATGTAGATATTCGTGCTTAGCGTTGAATTCTGAATCAAATCAATGTATGATATTCTAGAAAAAAATCTTACTGAATTTTGAATTACGTGCATCTTATAAAGTGACTGCTTCGAAGTGATCTGCACAACACTTTAAGAAATTAAATCTTTTATATAACCGAAATTGTCTTTTTTTGTATATTTCGTTTTTGAAACAAAAGTAACAAGACAGCTTCAACCAGACACGTGCCTCCACATAAATTATAGACTACATTAAGCGAAAATAGTGGTAGATTTATAATACTTGTTTGATTTTTCGTATGCTAAGTGTGAACTGTTCATACGGATTAATGAGGAGGAGGAGGGATTAATGATTAGTTTTATTGGCCATTTATAATAATGGATAAATATAAATGACTCGTTTATATTTATCCATTATTATAGATGACCAACAAAACTAAATTAACACCTCTAAGGTTATCTTTATTTTTAAAAATAAAGGAATAAAGATAAATAAATCCTTTAACTTTATTTTGTAAGAATAAAGGACGGGGTTCAAACTCCTGTAGAAATCGGCCCCTTCTCAAAATGTTTTAATTTCGATGTAGATCGATATAGAATTCATTCTATCTAGTTTTCTGTAGTTTTCGAAGCTTCGAAATGCATTTACTTCCACTCGGATTAATATTAGATTAACATTAAAGAAAAAAGATCAAATTATATAAACGCCCAATACGTGACAATGTTCCGATTGCTAGGATATTTTAAGCTATAAATAATATGACTTTGTCTTTGAAAACAAATTGCAAGAATAAAAAGAAAAAATTTAAATTTCAAATAAAATTGTCACTCTCTCTTTCCTTTAAAAAACTACTAAGCACCCATACATAGTATCTTTCTGATGAAAAATGAACGAATATGCACAACTTTGTGAAACCGGTAAAAACCGGTCGGTCCAACTCATTCAACCGGTCCGGCCCGGTTACAACTCTGTGGTATGCTTCCTTCTTTTTGTTTGAACCACTGTATCATTAGTGAATATTTCGCACACATTATTTTTTCTTTATTATGAGAAGAAGGGAAACGATGGATTTAAATTAGGAAGAATAAATAGTTTTTTTGAACATTTTTTCATAAGTAACTACTGACAAGACGTGTAATTAAAGTTAAATCGTTGAACCCGTTGGTTCGAGTAATCGGCGACGTACAGGTTCCCACTGGTGTCGAATCGGATTCCAGTTGGGCCGTTCAGTTGCGTCGATGACACTCCACTAGAGCCCGAAATGCCCGCCACCAGCGTTCCGTTTGGTGCATTTTTCAGCCATTTCACTATTCTATTATTGCTATAATCACTAATGTAGATCGTTCCGAATGAGTCAACAAAAATGTGCTTTGGATAATACAATTGACTGTACAGCGAGCCGGCACCATTACCTCCTGCAACGGTTGTCCCGTTTGTGGCATTTGGAAGCCATTTCTGAACACGATGATTCGCGTAATCCACGACATATAATGCATCGTTATCAGATTCATCGACATAGATGCCCCATGGTGTGTTGAGTTGATCGGACGCCGAACCCGCCGTACCGGTTCCAGCAACTACGGTACCCATTGTAGACGAATTTGAGTTGGGTGGAAATTTCAGTACACGATCGTTTACATAATCCGACAGATAAAGATAATCAAATCCTGTTTACAATGAAAATAAACCAGATTTAACTATATAAATGAGAGAGAGATAGCAGATACTCACGATCGACATAGAGTCCATCAGACCACTCGAACTTGTTCAGAGCAGTACCACATCCTGTCCCACCGACAACAATAGTAATATTGTTTGTAGCCACATTCCATTTGAGGATACGGCAGTTGTATGTATCCGATATGTACAAATTCGATTCTGTCGAATCGAAACACAGTGCTGTGGCCGTATCTAAATGGTTTGTGTCTGTGCCCGTACCATAGCCAGACTGGGGACCAATCGTTGTCCCATTCACACTGCCCTGGGGCCATTTCATCACACGATCATTCCAGAAATCCGACACGTAAACATTGAACGCAGAATCTACGACGACGTCAAATGGCCCGTTCAATGTTGATGCCGTCGCACCGGAAACGCCACTAGCTGAACCAGCAACTGTGGTTCCGACTGGGTGCCAGATACCTGACGGACACATGGCGGTTGTTGTTGCAGTAGTAGTCGTAGCTAAAAGAAGAAAACAAAAACCCATTGGTGCTAATGAAACATAGCCCGTTTAATAAAATGACCCTCTAGGAGTGTACACAGATTTTCAGAGCCCAACATTTGAAGAAGACCGTAAAAGGTTATTGCCTTTTCTACTAAATTTATGGGGAGATTTCACAAAACTGTAACTCAACGTTGTTTTCTCTGCCAATTCAGGTAGAGTAGTGAAACTTGCTCTGGCCATTGACGCAAAAAGGAACGGCAGCTACTATTTGAGAAAGAGACAGCGAACGCGATGCTATATAAATTTGTTCGTATTTTATCTTAATAAATGTGTCTTTTTAAAACAGTTTGCGACCAAAAAAACGAAACTAATTTTTGCGACTATGTTATCCCTCTCTTTATTTCTGTTTCTTCAATTCAATATCTACACAATATAATCTAATTAAATCTCATTTCATTCGTCTTTTTCAGCGTGATGAGAAGAGACCGATCAGTGGTTCTTTCAGCTACCTGTCAGCGGCACACATACAAAGTGAAGGTTAAACGTCTTCGAAAGACACATATCATAGAATCTTACCTGTTGTTGACATGGATGAGACGACCGTAGTAGCAGTACTGGTTAGGATAACACTCGTTGTTGACGAAACTAAATAAAATGAATACAACTAACAAGACTGTCTAAAGTTGTTCTTTTAATGGCGATATATGAGGCTATATTTCATGTATTTCTAAGCTTTTTATCATCGTCGTTTCAACGAAACAGCTACTAGACTTCAGCTGTTCACGACTTCGGTACCATAACTACAACTTGAACTACATATAGAATTACAACATCTAATTAGTTGTTCTTGCTTGTCATCAAATTATTACGTCAAACTATTTAAGTCTCTAAACGTCCTGAAGCGATACAACATGCAACTATGTACAGTAGTGGAAAAAACTAGAGAGCCACTGTATTTTTGAAATTGTTCGCTGAAGCCGAGTAGCAAGGTCAAATCTGAATAGGCATTTGGACAAAAGAGAAGATTAAACGTCTTTGAAAGACGCGTATCATAGAATCTTACCTGTTGTTGACATGGATGAGATTACTGTCTGAGAAACCGTAGTAGCAGTACTGGTTAGGATAACACTCGTTGTTGACGAAACTAAATAAAATGAATACAACTAACAAGACTGTCTAAAGTTGTTCTTTTAATGGCGATATATGAGGCTATATTTCATGTATTTCTAAGCTTTTTATCATCGTCGTTTCAACGAAACAGCTACTAGACTTCAGCTGTTCACGACTTCGGTACCTTAACTACAACTTGAACTACATATAGAATTACAACATCTAATTAGTTGTTCTTGCTTGTCATCAAACTATTTAAGTCTCTAAACGTCCGGAAGCGATACAAGATGCAACTATGTACGGTAGTGGAAAAAATTAGAGAGCCACTGTATTTTTGAAATTGTTCCCTGAAGCCGAGTGGCAAGGTCAAATGTGAATAGTTATTTGGATAAAAGAGAAGATTAAACGTCTTCGTAAGACACGTATCATAGAATCTTACCTGTTGTTGACATGGATGGGAAGACTGTCTGAGAAACCGTAGCAGCAGTACTGGTTAGGGTAACACTCGTTGTGGACGAAACTAAATAAAATGAATACAACTAACAAGACTGCCTAAAGTTGTTCTTTTAATGGCGATATATGAGACTATATTTCATGTATGTCTAAGCTTTTTATTACACAATCTAATGTCTCTTCGAATATCAATACAGCTAATTGGACTATTTTGCTTCATATATTGACTACTCTCCATATATTCTGTGACTCTAAGTGCAGTCAGCTACCTCTACAATTTCAGCGAGGAATGGTATGGTAGCGATTCATAATGGCAGCATACTATCTGATATTATTGCATAATGAAACAAGAGGTCATTACTATAACGACAAGAGAAGGTGTAGAATCAATTTTCGATCACATATATTCCAGATTGAGTTGATGCATCTCACAGCGAATAACAGATATAGCAACAACAGGAAGAGAATTCAAATAACATTCTCGCTTAATTACATATGGTCCAGCGATATATCAACACCGTCTGTAACATTACCAATTATTATGCACATGTATCAGGCATGGAAAAGCAAGATACCGGCTTGTCCAGCTAACGGCCTCCATTTTTTGCTCTTTTTCGAAAAGTTATTGCGATAAAACTACAAACTAATCTAAAATGGCAACTAGATGACTAAGTAGATTAAACATTTTTCTACAAAATGAAAAGTGTTTTGACTCCCCAGACAAACATCACCTATGGGAAAAATCTAGATACATTTCGTCTATAATAGAGCGATACACGACTAGTTGCCATCTAGATTACTAGTTGGAAAAGGGACTTTTAACTAGATGCGTCTGCATATGCAACTAGGAATAGTTAAATTGATCGATTATCGGCGATAAATCGATAGTTGCAACTAGAAAAAATCTAGTAATCGCCCGATTACTAGATTACCACTATCGCTATACAGTAGTTGCAATCGAGTAGAAATCTAGTAATCTAGATGAATCGGGCGATACTAGACTTTTTTTACGCTTGTATCTGAACGTTGATCCGTTATGAAAATACAGCTATTGTACAAACAGCGCCAAAAATCGATTATTGGGCTATCCGAAAAGTGTGTCCAAAAGAGTGAAGACGAACTGCAAACCATTGAGCAAGTGGACCAGTTTGGATAGCCCAATAATCGATTTTTGGCGCTGTTTGTACAATAGCTGTATTTTCATAACGGATCAACGTTCAGATCCAAGCGTAAAAAAAAGTCTAGTATCGCCCGATTCATCTAGATTACTAGATTTCTACTCGATTGCAACTACTAGTAATAGCAAAACTAGTAGTAGGTTGCAAACTAGTACTAGGTAGAAAAAATTTAGTAATCGCCCGATTACTAGATTTTTTCTAGTTGCAACTATCGATTTATCGCCGATAATCGATCAATTTAACTATTCCTAGTTGCATATGCAGACGCATCTAGTTAAAAGTCCCTTTTCCAACTAGTAATCTAGATGGCAACTAGTCGTGTATCGCTCTATTATAGACGAAATGTATCTAGATTTTTCCCATAGGTGATGTTTGTCTGGGGAGTCAAAACACTTTTCATTTTGTAGAAAAATGTTTAATCTACTTAGTCATCTAGTTGCCATTTTAGATTAGTTTGTAGTTTTATCGCAATAACTTTTCGAAAAAGAGCAAAAAATGGTGGCCGTTAGCCAGACAAGCTGATAACCAGGCTCACACTTTTCACAACTCTATGCTAAAATATATGCTACAGATATGTCTGTTTGTTGTCTGACATTCAAGAACGATGGAATGAAGAATTAAACGTGAGAGTGTACAACGACTTTTCCTACGAAAGTTAAGAAAATCTGTATCGACTGAGAATCGAACGCAAGACATCGATTAACACGACCAATGCTCTAAAAGTAAGCTTTCAAGTCAGCCTTCGGCATGTTTCCTCCTAGCTAATCGTCTTAATTCCCCAAGTGCACATTTCCTCGGATGCGGTACTACTACAATATATCTCTTCTGGTGGTATCTCATCCAAGAAGAGATACACTTACATAAGTTTGAGTTCGATTCTCAGTCGCGATATATTCTTCACCGAAACAAATAATGGCAAAGAGTCTGATGATCAACAACGTGTTAACGTCAAAACAACCTATTCTATTCGATCGCTCAAAATACCCAACCACAAGACTATTCGATCATTAGCTTAGCCAACGAACAAAATTGAACATAATTCATTCGCCAACGTTTTAGTACTAAAAATAGAGATTTACAAACAATCCACTGTTTTTTACACACAACTCAATAAAACCCGAAGACATGTGGGCTCTAGTAGTGAGTGAATGTCCTCCTGTTACATCTACAAAGACAGTTCGACAACCTTTTCAACATGCTAATATCACAGAATCAGCACAACCTCTCGAAATATATAGCTTTCGGCCGACACGTCCGGACAAATACAAATTCATTGTAGAAACATGTATTTTCCGCTACATAAATACCCGTCGGTATCGAAGCTGGAATTGTGCCGCTTAATTCATCGAGATTACTACTGGTGCTTTGTTTGAATGCTTTAACAAAACAAAAGAAATTAAGATTGTCTTTTCACCACTTACACTTGACATACCTGTCGCAGAGGTCGCAGAGACTGCTGTAGAAGTGGACGGCCCTAAAAAGAACTTGACAATTGAACATCAATGCAATTATAAAACTAGAGAACACTATCCACCTATGAAAATTAACCATAATAATTAATACCTTTAGAGCATTTAACCAAGAACTATCATGCACTCAGACAAAAAAATTTTCTATGCCCTGCAGTCTGTATCATATTACAACAGCACACTTTCTGACATGCTGTTACTACCCAGTTACTAACTAATCGATCACGAGCAACAATATGTGAGTTGTATTGACCGCAATATGGCTCGACTCGCACCGCTATTCTGAAGAAAACAACTCATTTACTGCATTTCGCAAAGCTTTCGTTTAAAACATGGTTGCTGCTTCTTGACAAAGATCATCATTTAACTATATATATGTATACACATATATAAAG